GACCAACTTGCAAGAATGACTGTCAAAACTCGCTCATGAAAACACCCGTATTTTACGCAGGCTATGCAATCATGATGACTGCATTAAAACACTCTTCCAGTTTCAAATTAGACGCAATTATACAGGACTGTTACAGTGACACCTTCCCACTCTCCCAAGTAATCTCAGACTCACACCTCAACCTTCCTACAATTTATAAGGCTTATTTCCCACACAACAAAACACTTAGTAAGAAAAAGCTAAGCAGTTCTGTCAAAAAGCATGCAAGTTGGAAAAATACTCATTACCTGGTGCCTGCTTGCTCAATAGCACAGCAGTATTAAAGGATCTGTCACCAAGATATTTAAGAAATCATTTCTTTTAAGACAGATATAAGGATGACCTGATTGTGCTGCTGTTCTTTCCCTTTCCATTCCTTCCTTTACTCCCACTTCAGCAGCCAGTAAGTCAGACTGTCTTTTTAATCAGTTAGTTCCTTTTCTGAGTTCACATTTCACTAGAGAAAAATAGCAAAGCCTACCCTAGGGACAAACCTGGGTAAGAAGCGCATCATTATGTCACCATCCCCAGTGGCTGCAGCTCCTCCTGCTGTGCTATCCGCATAGGATCCTGCTCCAGCTATCGGAGAGTCTCCTACACGGCTGTAGTGAAAAATGGAAAAAAAAAAAAAGAAAACACAACAAAACCTGGAAATTGCATAAAACTGTAATTTAATAAGTGGGACTGCATCAGTGTAGTAGCTCTTGGCCTGATATTGGCAAGTTCTTGTAACCTGGGCATACTCTTAACTTTGTCAGCCTTACTGCCTCCAGCTGGGTTAGTGTTGAACTCACAGAACAGAACAGGTGAAGAGGTCACCCCACTGCAGTCAGAAGTCTTGTCTTAAAAGTACCAGAAAAAGTGATCTGTGATAACCTGACTGACCCGAGGCTTAATCCACCTCCAATGCACAACTGTTTGTTATTATACTGACTATAGTTTGGGCAGTAAGGTTTAGCCAGTGGGCAACAATAAGCAGCAGGGGACATTAGTATGTTCAATAACTTGTTGCTAAATCCAGAAGTTGTCTGACTTGGTTCACAGATAAGATTCCTAACTGGGTAGAAAAAAATCTCAAAGACAAAATACAAGCCCAGGGCTCTGATTCTATGTACACTTCTTTGGAGACCATGCACCTCTCCAAAACACTTATTTGTCTCTGGTGCCATGCCTTACAAGTTGCCTTGCAACCGTGTCAGTTGTTTGTGTCTCTCTATGGTGAACTGAGCTGAAAAACAAGCATTCCCTCAAAGACAAATCATCTTGCAACAGTTTCTCAGTATAAGGATTTATGTCGATGCCCAGAAATAAGCAAGGCCATTTTGTGATCATTGCAGTATAAAATATATAACCTTTACATAAGCTTAATGCAGCGAATGAGGCAGGAAAAAAGATTTTTTGTAAAACCAGAGATACTAACCCTGGAATTTTGTGGACTGCACCATTAGTAGACGTCCCAGAAGCAACAATTCCACTCCCACCGATTACAACCATTCCTAAAGTTTTCAACAGGGATGAAACACATTCAGAAACACTCATAACAAATTTATTTAATTGGCATTATGATATCAAGCAGAATGACAATACCCAGACTTTTCAAACTACTGATATCCTTAAACATAGAGAAGTCGTACTCTTAAAGAAGTTCTTCTCAGAACACATTTGGAAACCTTTAGGATGCATTACAAGAGCTCAAAAAGAAACCTCTAACAGTGAGTGACACACTGTTCAGAGCTGTACATTACTGATGCCCAAGCAGCTCCTGTCTCCTGATAAACACCTATGTTAATCAGTGGAGAACAAGTACCTAGTGTCACCACATCCTACCCCAGTACCATCAGAACAACAAAGTCTGGGAATTATAAATGGCCCTATAGAGGGAAATTTTTTTAAAAAAAAAAAGAAAAAAAAAAAGGGGTCAGAAGGATGAGCTTAAATTTCACAGACAGTGACACACCGCCTACCAAAGTTAACAAGAATTACATGGCAGGCAATCAGATCTGTTGGTAAGCCTAGTCCTTGCTAGTTTTGTACTGATAAAAAAGCCACTGCCTCATATTAGAGAAGCTTAGATTGCCACTTGTAGCAGGATGCTGGATCAGCTGCTTCTCTGTAGAGCAAGACTTCACCTCTTTAAGAGAGGGCAGAAACCGCTGCTAGCATCAAACTCCAGTACAAATCGAGATCCAAGAAGCAGAATTCAAAGAGCTGAGTTCTGGTTCTCTGACCTCACTAAGCATTACCTTCCTTCTCATAAAAAAGCTAAAACCATAGAGGCACTGACTCTATAGCCACCATTAGCCTCTGCAAAAAGACTGGAAGGGCATCTGTTCCTACCAACTTCCAAAAAGCTTTGTGAATGAAGGCTCTTCTCAAAATGTGCTAGTCAAGGACACGTTTCATATATAAAACAACAGGGTGGGAGAACTTGCAGTATAATTGTAAGCACCATCATTCACTACAAAACAGCTTAGGACTATTTAATGATACATCAATTCCTGACTTGTACTTAGCAGATTCCCCTCTCATCCTGACACTCCACGATTTCTGAGTTTTCTAGCACTGAAGACTCTATATTCCAGTAAAGAAAGCTACCTACCAACTTAACAATTTGGTAGGTTGCCTGACTTCTGTAGAAAGTTAATTTGTTATTAGGAGAGTGGACTGGAAGCAAAAAAGAAACAACTTGTTATTTCTTGGTATTGCAAATACTATCAGGCAAAAAGTTCTGAATTGCTAAACCGAGAAAAATCCAGATGAAACAAAGGAGTGTAAGCTTCAAGACTCCAAAATATTAAGCTTTGGAAGACATGAATCTTAACTGCTTCACTCCTGTCTGATCTGCTCATTGATCAATATATAGGCTTGGCAATTAACAGTCCTCTATCCATACGCTCTTAGAAGTTTTTGGGACTGCTACTGCTAACCTGTTTTAAGCATAGTAGTTTTTCTAGCAAATTATTTAGACAAAAGCCAGAATAAAAGAAAAATTAAAGCAAGTTTATAAGTTTAAGAACTGTTCAACAAACACTGCTTTTGGTTGGCAACAGGACTAATAGTTTACTCATTTTTTCCACCACTGCAAAGCCTTTAAGTTGGTATGACATCTACAGGGGAGACTTAAGTTAACCATAATCAAGATAAGTATTTTTAATCTTGATCAGTTTTCTAAGCATTCATAGCTGCCCAAGCAATTATGCCAAGGTATCTGAGGGAAAAGCAGTAGGGCATTGAACAAAAGCTAAGGTGGAAGAATGAAGAAAAAAAAATATATCAGCATCAGAGTTACGAAAAGTTGTTACCAATAGTATCATGATTATGAAAACTTCTTCGTGAGATCTGTTCTTCTTTATAAGTCACTTTTTCAGGCCGTTTGTATGGTCCACAGGATTTTGAAGAGTCTGGTATCACATTCTGCAAATATTTTGTAATTTGCATGAATAATATATTCTGCTTCACCACAGATAAATTTAAAAATACCACAATCAATACCTATAATCTACCACACTCGTAACAGATGCCCAATACTTAAATTACACAGCTGTACTGAAATCCCACAAACTGATTTGCTTAAAGAATAAAGAATGACTTCTGGTATTATGCAGTAAAAAGTTTTTCTTACTAGAAAGTTATGTTAATATTAAAGATTCCCCTCTACTGAATTGACTGATTAAAAAAAAAAAAAAAAAAGCAGCCAGGCAGATGAACTGAGCTTGTTTTACTATTGTCAAGTCAGTACCATAGTCAAGATATTTTCCCAGCTGAAAAACAGAATACGTATTGATTTAAAATGGTTCAGCAATGCAGCATTTAATAGCCAAGAAACAAGACAGCATATAAATATGTAGAAATCTGTAACACCAATCCAAAAACAAACAAACAAACAAACAAAAAACCCAAAAACAAACAAACAAAAAAACCCCACAACAGACAAGTTTAACAGACAGCTGCATTAATGTGATATGCTCGCAGGTCTGCATAAAGCCTTTCTAACTTTTTACGGACCTTAATTGCTACTGTAAGATTTTCTTATAGAAATTCATAAATTCATCAAAAAAATATACACTCTGCAAGGTCAAAACCAGCAGGATCCAAGAAATAGGAGCAAGACACATACTCTTGCTGAGTCTACCAAATGCCTGGTAATTCCAAGTTTGTTCGTTTAACATGCAAAGCTTCTTTTTTCTTCACACATAAAGCACAACTTCAAAATAAGCTAAAAGAGGCAATGCTGCATTACTGACCTTCTAAACCCCACTTTCACCACCACCACACTTTACCTTCCAGTAGTTTGGCTGACAGCTTTGATTAAGCCACTCTGAATACACCAAAAGAGATTTTTGGGTAGTTAAATCTTCATATGGAAACCCCATTCTTACAGCAAACAGGGAGGCTTGAAAAGCAACAACAAAACCAAAACCATTAATTTATTCATATTGTTATATACTTTATAATAATGCATTCATGTAATGTTATCTAGAAATCAAGAAATTCTATATCCTCTACAGAGATTAGAAATATGTCTTCAGGGAGCAGTACCAGCCATTATAGTGACGTATAACTGCAGGAGCGAACTCTGCCTTCACTGGCAATATCAAATTTCCTCAAATCACCGTAACTATGTTAAAATATGTAATTTTTACCATTGAAAGAGAAACAGATTGAACTCTATTAATCAACTGAACACAAATAAACTGAAGCAAGAGTGGACTGGGCTGTGTGTGTTACAGAAATGTTTGTGTTATACAAATAATAGTATATTTTCCTTAAAAAGCTAGTTTTCTATGAATTTAAGTAACAGCAGCACGTTTACCACCAAAACACTGATACTTGCAGAAATCAATCCACCAGCTTACATATTACACATTACACTTCTTCCTTGCAGTTTGAAAAGTGACTGCTTCCTTGTTTTGAAAATGAATATAGTATGTGTCAAGGGAGCAAAAGAAATACCAACACAAGCAATGAAAGAATACTGCACTTCTAAGAATGGCTTTTTTCGCTAGGGAAAGGGAAAAGAAAAAAGATCAGCTACTCTTTCATCTTTTAGTTGCAGATACGTTTGATACGACCTAGTAAGAGATACTGTTGCTAGACTCAGATGCTTGAATTTATATTACCAATCCTTGATAATAATGTCACTATAACACTAGAGAAGCTGAACAAGCATCTCCAGTTCAAGAATTAAGAAAAGCCTTCAATTATTTCTGGACAGCTTTTCTATGTTTTTCTTTAAAACCGTGACAGTTAAATCCTCTTTGCACTCAAAGAAAACTGACAGCTTCAATTAAGCAAAACAGGCAGGTTTGCTGGTTTTCTTCGTTTGGTTCGTTTTTGTTTTGGGGGGTCTTTTCAGGTAAAACTGTGCTTATGCATGTTTGTCAGTCATTCTTGCATGACTTCTAAAGCCTTGTTTCTATTCCAGGAAGCAGAATTGGCATTTTTACTCTCTGAACTGTTTACTTGGATTATTGGTCTAAGTATTGCTAGGAGAAAAAGGGAAAGGGTCAGGAACATTGTGATTATGAAACTTTCTTATCTGTTGGAGACAAACCTGAATATTTCTTGGCACATGATAACCAAACTAATTCTGTTTCCTCACTTGTAATCATTCTGCATTAAATGTCCCTTGCCAGACTCCGTGCGTATACATGGCCTTTATTGCTAATTTTCTAAGACTTCGCCCAAAGAAATTAGGCAATGAACAGAGAAAGCAGTTCTTTTAACAGGGCAACTCTGATCAGTGTGGTTATCTGTATCTGTTCAACAAAAGCTACACCACGGCTAAGAAGCAGAACCCAGGAAACTACACACTGGTCAGCTTCACACTGATTATTGAGAGGATGATGGAACAACTAACCTTGGACACCATTTCTGAGCACAGGAAGGACAAGGTGACTGTGAGTTGTCAGCATGGCTTCACAAAAAGGAAGTCATGGTTGGTCAGTCTGATAACCTCCTATGATGAAAAACGGGTTTGGTATATGAAGGGAGCGCAGCAGATATTGTCAACCTTAAACTTCCATATCAAAGGCTCCCACAAGATCCTCAAAGAGAAGTTGATGAAGTATGGCCTGGATGAGCAGACAGTGAGGTGGACTGAAAACTGGATGAAGGGCTGAGCTTAGAGGGTGTTTGGTGATGAGTAGTATGAAGTCTAGTTAGAGCCAGTAACTAGCTGTGGACCACTGGGATCAATACAGGGTCCAGTACTGTTCAGTATCTTCATTAATGACCTGGATGATGGGGCACACATCCTCACCAAATTTTGCAGGTGATACAAAACTAAGAGGAGTGGCTGAAGCTGGGACTGTTTAGCCTGGAGAAGAGAAGGTTCAGGGTGATCTCATCAGCGTATAAAAATATCTGAAGGGAGCGTGCAAAGAAGATCAAGCCAGGCTCTTTTTGATGGTGCTCAGGAAAAGAGGCAATGGGCACAAACTGAAAAATGAGAAGCTCCCTCTGAACAGCATGGCACCCATTCTGAGGGTGACAAAGTTGCCCAGAGGATGTGGAATCTCTATCTCTGGAGATATTCAAAAGCCATCTGGACATGGTCCTGGGCAACCAGCACTAGGTGGCCCTTCTTGAGCAGGGAGGTTGGACCAGAAGACCTCAAGTCCCCACCAACGTCAACCATTCTATGATTCTGTAATGCATTTGTCTTCCTTAAGTTCTGTATGTACCAAAGGTTTTAAGATACCTAAACTTATTTTTTTTTGAGTCAATGTAAACAGAACTGTGAAGACTATTCAGGTGTCATGGCACTCTAACAGATACCATCAGTTTTTTACCACTGAAAATGAAAATTTCATGTTACTTTCACTAAAATTTTACTGCCAGAAACAAGGTACATGTCACACATTTAAAAATGATCAACTAAACAAAATGAATGTGTGCCACAGCTTGCCTCTTCCTCTCTAGTGTCAACTACTCATAGAAATTAAATTTTAGGAAATGGGCAGACTTCCCGGATTGTATCACTAAATATATTCAAATAAAAGTGTAGTTTAGTTATTGGGAGAAAAAATAAAGAATAACGTCAGCAATTTTGCATCTTGAATAAAGAAAGCCTGCAGAGATTATCTACATTTATATTAAAAGGATTTACTATTCTGGTTAGCTTTTCTGGTGAAAATGTGATCATTTTCATTTCAAAAATAAACTGTCATTTCTCTCACATGCTGATTTGAAGGTTCAGATGTATTCTTCTGAAGCTCCATTTTGTCTTTATCAGTTTTTGCTTGGTAAAGACAACCATAGTTTTCTTTATCCAAGTTCTTATTTCTACAGAAAATACGTGCTTTCAGAATACTACTTTATCTTAATTTCTCACTGCTTTGATTCATTCACTAATATTTATGCGCCATCCAACCTGGCCTTGAACACTTCCAGGGATGAGGCATCCACAGTTTCACTGGGCAACCTGTTTGACTGTCTCACCACCCTTATAGTAAAGAATTTCTTACTAAAGCCTGATCTAAATCTACCTTTCTTCAGTTTGAAAACTACTTGTTTTTAAAGTAATGTCCTGCCATTACATGCCCTTGTAAAACGTCCTTCTCCAGACTTTCTGTAGGCACCCTTTAGGTACTGGAAGGATGCTATAAGGTCTCCCTGGAGCCTTCTCTTCTCCAGGCTGAACAATCCCAACTTGCTCAGCTTGTCTCCATTGGAGAGGTGCTCCAGCCCTCTGAGCACCTCTGCAGCCCTCCTCTGGACTTGCTCAAGCCCATCCACATCCCTCTTGTGTTGCTGGCCATAGAGCTGAATGCAGTACTGCAGGTGGGTCTCATAAGAGCGGAGTAGAGAGGGAGAATTAGCTCCCTCAGCCTACTGGCCACATTCCTTTTGATGCAGCCCAGGATACAGTTGGCTTTCTGCACTGTGAGCGCACACTGAAGCTGGATCATGTTGAGCTTTTGGTCAACCAACACCCCCAAGTCCTTCTCCTCAGAGCTGCTCTCAATCCAGTCCCCACTCAGCCTGTCTTTATGCTTGGGACAGCCCCGACCCAGGTGTAGGACCTTGCACTTGGCCTTGAACTTCTTAAGGTCTGTGTTGGCACACCTCTCAAGACTGTCAAGATTCCTCTGGATGGCATCCCTTCCCTCCAGCATGTCAACCGCACTACACAGCTCCATGTTGTTGGCAAACTTGCTGAGGGTGTAAGGGGGAAAGGAGCATGACAAGCATTTCTTCCTCCTCTATTTAACATCTGACCAATTTCTTTTTCAGCATCATCTATGATGCCTCTCTTACCAAAGCCACTTGTAACCTAATCATGGCCAACTGCTCAAATTAAATACAATCTGCAAATCTCAATCTCTCTTTTCAGACCTCCTGTCAAACATTGTCTTCACCTCCCTCTGCTGCCCTATTTCACTCCATCAAAAAACTACTGTTGCACTTATTTCTCTATCATTCTGTATATGTTAACTCCCTCAAGAATCTTTAATCTTTTCTTAGCAGTTTCAAAGTACTTATTCTTAATGCTCAGATGCAATTTCGCACTGATCACATTTCTTTCTGAGCAGGCAAATACATTTTAAAAGTCCTTAACTGTGAGCCAAGTAACCTTCTGTTCACTACTCATATACCTCCCTGGAATGTACATCTCTTTTGAAACCAGTATTACTCTAACAGCAGCAGCTCATATTTGAAAAGCTCAACTACTCCTCCAGTTTGCTATCACTCTTTTGTTGTACCTAGTACAGCCCCTAATGCAGTTTTTTCCATTCAAATTCTCACTTCTATTTTTATACTATGAAACAAAAGTCATGCTGAATACATACTAAAATAGTAAAATCTTAACTTTATAGTCTATTAAGTCTTTTCCTTGGAAAAAGTTGCTTTGTGTTTTTTAATTAAATGTTTACATCTGACAGCTGCTATAGTGCCTTGTATTGAACCATCTTTGATACCTTTGATATCAGTGGTATTAGCAAAGCCTTGGGATTACCAGTTAACGTTTGCAATTAAATTGGTGGAAAGACCACAAAGTCGTGTTTTTCTTTTCATGTCCAAACAGTGAACAACGACTTAATTCATACACATGTAACAAAAGAGTAAACACTTCTGAATTATTTGAATATTCATTTGATTGTCAGAGAATCCTTCCTCCTATATTACCAAGAGTAATATACAGCAATTTTGCCAGGAAGTGTTATAAGAAAAAGGTACATCTTGGAAACAGTTGAACGGATAATTACCTGACTCGCCCACTAATAACGTATGCTTAGTATATTCCATGACTTTTCGTGCTACACTGATTGCATTTTTTACATGTCTGAGATCTGCAACTGCTCCAACTTCCATAGTGTTGCTGTAAACAAGAAATATTTAAAACTTCTTAAAAATACAAGAATAATTGTACATATTTATCAGACAAAACCTGTTCTCATCTAAATTAGAAAGCTTGCTCGTTTAACATACTGCTTTAATTGTTCTATGCCATAGACAGATGACATAGTAGTCTAGTAGTAGACAAACTACATCACTTGTGGGAAAAACTTTGTCCCTATATTGTTTTCTTTCACAGGCACGGGGATGAGGCTCAACTAACAGTAACTCAGTCCACAGTAATACTTTCAGTAGAATAACTATATTATTACATAAACTCATAACAAGAACTACACACTTGCAATTACTTTTTAATCATGACAGCTTTAAATGGTAAATAAAGTACAGAATACAATTGCTCCAGAAGTGAAATATTTATGGAATGAATGCAAAGGGAAAGCTTACAATGCTACCAACCATTTGCTTTGCGAGTGCTATATCTAGAGCTAGATTACTGCACTACGCAAAGATTCAGTAACAAAGATGCTAGTTACTCTTCCACTAATTATTTTCCCTAGCTCCACAAGTTTACATATAACTTTGTCCTATAGTTAACCCTAAATCAGCAAGATCTCTGTTACAGGTCTTACATTAAAATGTGCTAAAAAATACTGGGATCATTCTTTACTCCATGTGGTTTTCTTACCCATTCATAATCATTGCATCCAGTGTTGTTTCTCCACTTTCATCTGGGCTTCCTCCATACCCCACACTCCCATCGCATTGGTCGATCTCACACTGACCACAGCCTCTCTCAACTGCATCCAGCTCAGAACCTCCCAACTGCAATACTCCCCAAGCTGTAATCAACACAATTAACAGTCACTAGTGAAATGTCTCCACTACTGCTTTAAAGAATGTTTTAAAGACGGACATGATGAAGATGCACTATATAAGTGGGTAAAGCAAGTAAATTGTAACTTACAGGTGAAATAAAGTTAAAATATTAATATATTCAAAAGATTATAAAGCATTACTTTTCTAAATACTATTCTTTTTGCATATTTGATTACTGTTTCTAACTGAGAAAATGAGCTTTTTTTTTTCTGACTGAGAAGGTCTTTACTAACTATCTATACAACTTCTATACATTAAATAACCTCCTCCTTTGCTAAGAACCAACCATTGCTTTATCACTGCTTATTTAAAGCCCTCGGGGAGGGGAGGAGGGAAGGGAGGAAGAGAAAGGGGGAAGCAAAACTTTTATCTCAAAAGAAAAAGCAAAAGTTATAACAAGCAGCCCTCAAAAGCTTCATACGAGAATACAGTGTCCAGCTGCAGAATAAAAGGATCTAAACCACACAGTGATCTAAAAGATCTAAAGCTGTATCAGTAACTACGCAAGAACAAAAAGAAAGTGGAAACACTATACAAGAAGTTACAGTCTCCATATTCTCCTGTTCAACCTTTAGTCCTCTGCTCTAGGTCATGATGCTGTTTCATAAGACATTACAGACATGCCAAACCACACGACTTGAATAAGCTGGGCCTGAAGGTCTGGCACATATGACATTTCACAAGGTTGGACCTCAGGCAAGATTTTCCAAGACGCCGAGCTTGCTGCCACTGAGAGTTGCAATCCTGCTTTCTCGTCTTTGTGCTGGCTCTGGCGCTCCATCATCTGCCAGACCCAGCACAAGGGGCGGAAGGAGAAGCATACAGCCCAGCTCCTTCTGGCAGAAGTAAGCGATTACATAGTCTCAGCCATCTCAAGGAGCCTCATCTTTACAAATGCTGCATGCAACTGTATAAGACCACCTGCACCAAGGAAAAAAGTAAGACACCTAGCATCCATCTCCACATGTGCCTTTATTATAAACTCCAGTGAGGAGTACTGCTCCAAGTGCTACTACCTTTATTGCTGGGAGTAGCCTTAACACAAGTTTTCAAAAGCTGCAAAGGGCAGGCCTTGTAGTTTTCACAACGCATTTCACTTCTGACCTATAAAAGGCTTTACATGTAACCCATTTCACTAGCAAAGCTTTCACAATATGTGATTATTTGCAACTCAACTACAGTAAAATAACCTACCAGTCTTTTAAAATCAGTATCGGCAACTAGTTTATGTTGCCAAAGGAAAACCTGCTTTGACTGTCAGTAACACATCACAAAACAACACAGAGCTCCAAAAACACAGTATTCATAATTGCCTAAATATTTGGGGCAAGAATGAATCTCAGAAGGGCACCATTAAAAACACATTATTAGCAAAAGAACGTTTTTAGCCTAGCTTTTCCACAGTTCATAACCCTCTCTGTTTCATTTTAAATGCATTCTTCCCAACCTTGAAAGCTAAGCCATTTGCGTGCAGGCTGTCAGGCAACACCAGTGCTCAGGCACAGGCAGCTCAGGGTCCTGGCCCCTTCCCAGAGGAAGGCCCTACGACGCCCTGAGACCCGCCGCAGGCCCTTCCTAAGCGGGCAGAGAGGCACTTCACGCAGCTTCCCTGCGGTACCGGGACTCGCTCTGCCCCATGAGGAAAGCACAGCGGGCAAGAGGCAAGCCAGGCCCTCTGCAGCCAGAGCCCTGTAACGGAAGCCCGGTCACAGCCCACTTCTTGCCACACGTAAGCGCGGTCACGCCTAAGAGACTTCTAAGGGAACGCGCAGA